TAATATATATTAAATATAATTATTTATGAAAATTTTTTTACATTTATTTATTACAATTCATAATAAATAATTAAAAAATTAAATGAAATCACGAATACAAATAAAATAAAATAATGAATATAATTTTTAAAAATGTATTAACTACATATTTGCCATTTAGGTGAAAAAGGGGTATAGAAGCATTTGTCACTTAGTATTCAATATAGTGTGCACTACCTAGTGTACTCATTTCCCCATAGTGTTCAAGCATATGGAAAAGTTAGGTCTTGCTTTTACAGCACTCTTACAGCTCCCTCCCACCTTGTACTCAGTAATGAAAGCCTTGTCAAAAGGCCATGAAGGTAATAACCGTCACAAGATAACTGCAGGCAAACTGCACCACTATATGTCAAATAACAAATAACAGTGCTGCAAGGCATGCTGGGAGTCCGGAACTCAAACATTGACCTCATCTATGTCTTCCGGTGTTCTTGGAGGCTTTCATGTTTAGCATTCCAATGAGGCTGACAGTGCAGGGCTTTAATTAATAGACTCGCTGTTATTTATTGACTGTTTAACTCGCGTCAAGTTTTCTCCCCCTCTCTCTCTCTCTCTCTAACCTGGGGGGATGAGAGCTGCCCTTCTCTGCTGTTTATAGTTACAGTGGTAAACACGTGTAGAACGCGCAGATGTGTCTTAGTGTTAAAATATGAAATGGTCTGAAGTCAGAGATGGTAAATTGAACTTAATTAGGAGGATTCTTAATCATGGCTGCCTGTGCAATCAGGCCAGACATATTGGCCTCAACCAGTTCCTCAGGAGTTATTATAGTGATATTGTATGCATGTTATTTACAGTGTCCTAAAAAGTATTTGGACACTTATTAAAAACAAAAAAATCACTGTATTAGATAAAATATTACACCAAGTTGAAGTTATTAAAAAAAAACACTTTGAGCAAAAGATTCTACAAAACAAATGTTCAAAATTGAGAAACATTCTGGTTAATGTGATTAATTGCATGTGTGGTTACTCCTGTATGAACTTGAGGAGAACTTGACTTCATGCATCCACTAAAAATCACCTTGAGACCAATTATACATCATCGTTAGTTTGCAAATGTCTCTGGTTTAGATTTTTTTTTTGTCTAATGTAGTGGCTTAAAGTGTCCAGATACTTTTGACGCTGTTGTAGTTGCCAGGGAAATCTGCATGCATGTTCACAAGTGGTCACACTATTTTTAATGTTGTTAGGCAGAAACATTAGTGTGTCAGTTCCTTATTATTATTAATGGTCATGGCCCTTCTGTTGTGTTTTTTATTTTTTATCATTTGCCTCTTTTTGGAGTCAGACGAGTCAAGACTTGATGAGGCAGAGTGCATGAAAATGGGAAGCTGCTGGAAATCAGCCCAATGTTGGCTGCACTCTCTTACCACCTGTGAACATGCATCATGGCAAACTATCAGGACAGTTGACTAATGCACATCTGTGCAGAGCTTTTGTGCATTTTGTAAAGTCTGTGAATATAGATTATTTGGAGGATATCACTCATTTTAGCGTTGATGTGAGGATACCATCTGCTAAAGATTGAAGAGAAGTAATAACCGACTATGAATCATTGACAAAGTGCCTGTATCATCTAGGCGTGCGTTCAACTTGCAGTACTTCAGCATTAATAGTAGTGACTCCTAATGACTCCCTTAATGATTTTCTCTGAAACTGCTCTTAAGAAAAATTTAGCAGTGAAAACAAATCCAAGTTTTTAATGTGTATGATGTTTTTTCAGGTGAGTGTGGTGGAGGTGAAGAGCTGGACTCCAGTTTGCACTCTGAAACCAGATTCAAAGCTGGGGATGCTCATGTGTATGAAGATGTGGCAGGTAAGAGTAACAGCAGTTTGCTACATTTGTGTGGATGTATGCTTAATAAAATAAACTCTTCATCATATATTCTGGAGTATGGAAGTGGTTTATGTAATGCTGGATTTTATTTTTTTCACTTTATATTACAAATAATTTATGTTGAAAGTAAATTAGGAGGTTTTTTTAGTTGGGAATATAGACTATTTATTTATGTATGCATGTATGTATGTATATAATTTTATTTTGCTTTGCCGAGTTTTGCTAGATTTTTTTTCACACCGTTCTAATGTTAAACGTAGTTAGGATGGTTAGTAAAGACCCTAAATTGACATTTGCAGAAAAATGTTTAGACTTCTTCACACACGTGAACCTGCTCATGCTCCCACTTTATTGTTTCCAGTTATGTATATCACGTTTCTCATGCATGCGTGGAAATGTTCTTGTTTGCACTGGAAAGTCTCAGAGTTTTTTTCTTTTCCTTTCATGCAACTTAGTTTTATTAACACACACTTTCTGAGCCCTGTCTGATTTTCCAAGGTGTTGTTGTGCTAAATTTTGACATTGTCAAGCATTACCTTTTGAAGTACTGACAAGCAAACCTAGAGCTCACAGAGTAACCGAGCAGTTGGCAAGTGTGTAAAGCGACAGAACTAATCTGATTTATGGATGCGACCTGT